GATGGGGGTTCTCATAAGAGCCTAGGCCTAACTCTAAAGACCTCAGGTTTGAGGCTTTCATGGCATTTGAGGTAACTAATACACAGGTGTTGGTTGGATATGTCCAAAAAATGATCTATATTCCTGTATTTATAAGACAAAATCAAATACCAGATATCTTTTTCTGGTGAGGAGGATGCTTAATTAAAAAAAGTAATAATCTATATGTTTTTTAAATCTTCTTAACTGTGGGAAAACAAATCCCAATTTCTCTTAGTAATTTCCTGAGCCAGTAATAATTGATCCACATTCTCGGCTGATGTTCAAGTCTTTCTGATTTAAAAATTTTCCCTCTTTTCCAGTTTTTTCTAATCTCCCAAACTGTGACTGATTTAGTTCTCTACATAACTATGTTAGCAACAGAAAAACCAATGATAATAGCAATAACCATGATCACAATGAAACAATAGCAGCTACACTTACTATACACTGGGAATCGCCTTTACAGCATGAGCATGTTATCATCTCTCTGTTTCAAAAACCATTGCCATGCAGGCATTTTGATTCCCATTTTAAAACAAGGAAATCCATGCACAGAGACATGAAGAAATGTGCCCAAGGTCGCATTTGGTGTCAATGGAGCCAATATTTCTATCCAAACCCGACTAACTCCAGGCTATCCTTTTAACCACAGCACAACAGTGCCTTCCGTGACTAGGTATGTCAGGATCTAACACGTGGTGGTCAAAAGCAAAGATTTTTAAGATACAGGCCTTGGTTTAAATCCCAGCTCTGCCAATTTCTAGTTGGTTAACTTAGGGATGATTTTTTAAGCTCTGTCATCCTTTTCATCTATAAAATGAGGATAATAATTCCTTCCTCGCAGAGTTCTGGGAAGGATTAAATAAGAAACTGCATAATGCATAGCCCACGGTCCACGTTCCGTTGGCAATAGCTATTATGAACGCTGCATTTTTTGTGGGCTTCATTATACTTTTTATCTCATGCAAAATGCCTGCTCCTTTCTCTTGTCGACGGTCTTCTCACTGCACACCAATTTCAAGTCCTGAAATTCATCATGCACTTATTTTTATACAATAACAGGAAAACAAAACTAATTTGAGAAACAGCATCCCCCCTCCCCCCAAATCCTCAGAGGATATTACAAATGTGGCATCCTTCCTGGATCTCTTATTTTCTCTACCTACAGTTTTTTAAAGAAGTCGTTTCTCTCCTGAGGACGATATCAGCCTTTTCCCTGTGACAGGCAATGAACTAATATTTCTGCCAACTCAAAGAGACTGCCTCCCATCGCCATGGCCACTGCTTCTCCTTGTCACATGCTTTATCTCCTTCCCCCAAACTGGTCTCGTTCTGTAATTTATAGCCAGAAGCCTCAGGGATCTGGCCCTGCATGTGGGCTTCCCAGTAAGAGGTCCTGGAACAATCTATTCCGCCTGCCGCATGGGAACACACACCTCAGGTTCTATCCTTCCAGCTCTGCCCCTCTGTCCCCTGAAGGGCCATCTCCCATTTCCAGTAGGACACGATGGACTTAAAGACCTTCTTTCTTGTTGTCGCAGCCTCACGTTCATGTCTTCTGGGGTCTTTTTAGGACATGTTTATGGACATAATCTAGTCAAGGGATGCACAGCTAGCTTTTCATTTAATTAAGGGAAGAAAAAAAAACAAAAAGCAGTGGCCTAGCCACTGTTTAATGCAGGGGGATTTCAGACCTCAGTATGGCAACGGGTAGAGCGTGCAGAACCTGAATCCCCCTTCCCCAAACAGCTTGGTAGCTCTAGCACATCATCGACATTCTAGACGCAGCCATTTACCTGCTCAGAAGTCACCTAAAAAAGAAACGAACTGGATTTTTGCTTTGTTCCCATCTGATTACTTCTCTCATTATGAATTCCTGTTTTTGCAAACCCGGATCATTACTAAAGAAGACGACACTCAGAAGTCAGTGAGGAGGAACTTAGTGGCATCATAAACAGGTGAAAGCAGAAGAGAAAGTGAGGCGCCAGGTTTTTCTGGCTGGGGTGGAGGAAGAGCAGCAGGAGGAGGGAGATGGCAGGGAGACTGAGTCCTAACAGGTCTTAGAGAAGTCCCAGGCAGGATTAGGAGAGCCGATCCCTGCAGGTTGCTCTGTCCTCTTCACACCCCGGATTCTAACCCTCCACCGGGGCCATCACACCACCTGCAACTCCACGTGGCTGCTCTAGGCATCTCCTACTGGTAAGGGGAGTGGGGGTCACTTCAGAGCCAGGAGCTTTGGCCAAAGGGCAGTGGCCCACAGGCAGGAGTGATGGTTTCACAAATTGTGATTAACCTGGTAATTCTGCAACTTGCTGGTCTTTCCCAGTTTACAAATCAAAATCTCTGGGGAAAATCAGAGCTCATTCTGATATATGATATAATGTGAGAATCACTAATCTAGGCAAAGTTTCAAGTATGCATTTTGTACAGAATAATGGCTCCCCAGAGAAATCTATACCGTAATCCCCAGGACCTGTGAATATGTTAGGTTATGGGGCAAAGGAGGATTAAGGTTACAGATAGAATTAAGAGTGCTAATCAACTTGGCCTTAAAGTAGGGAGATTATTCTGGATTATCTGGGTGAGCCCAATATAATCCCGAGGCTCCTTTTAGAAAAGGAAGCAGAAGATGAGAGAGGAGGCACCGTGACTATGGAGAACAGCACAATGATGCGATGTGAGAAGGATTTCATCACCCTCTGCAGGTTTTGAAGATGGGAGGAGGAACCACAAACTAAGGAATTTGAGCAGCCTCTGGAAATTGCCAAAGGCAATAAAACAGATTCTCAGTTAAAGCCTCCAGAAAGGCCACAGCCCTCCTGACCCCTTGAATTTGTGTTGAACTTCTGAGCCGTAGAACTGTGAAATAGCAAAAACCAAGCTGTTTTAAGACACTCAGTTTGTGGCAGTTCATTACAGCAGCAATAACAAACTAAGACAAAGAGGTTAATGATAAGCAACTGTAATCAATGACACTGATAGATATGATATAAAAATACTATGAAACTAATTTATAGCTTTCATATGAAAGCTATATCCCAATTATGGCCCAAGAATATGGGGGAAGGGGAAAGGAAGGGGAGGGGAGGGGGAAGGATGGGTGGATGGAGGGTAATTGGTGGGACCACACCTATGGGGCATCTTACAAGGGTACATGTGAAACTTACTAAATGTAGAATATAAATGTCTTAACACAATAACTAAGAAAATGCCATGAAGGCTATGTTAACCAGTTTGATGAAAATATTTCAAATTGTATATAAAACCAGCATGTTGTACCCCATGACTACATTAATATACACAGCTATGATTTAATGAAAAGAAAAGAAGGGAATGGTTTCTGAAAGGCATAAAGTTTAAGAGATTTTTCGAAACACAAGAAAAATTCCACCTGTTAGAATGAGGTCCTATTTCTAGGCTTCATTTATATCAAATGTCTTTAAGACAGTCAGTTGTCCTGGTTCTTTTCCTGTTTCCTACTGAAGGTCCACTAGCCACCCTCCACTGGCTCTGTGCCCTAGTGGGCAGACTTCTACCGACTGAACCACCTGACTCCTCACCCTCTGGCTTCCAGTAGGGTTTCATCAATGGCAGACACCAGCAGGAGACTGGAGGACGCTCAAGGTCAGTACCCAATGGGAGGCACAAGTTGGAGACTGGAGCAGGCTCAAGGTCAGCATGATCCTAAAGGTGTGTCTCCTTCAACTCCTATGTGCTCTAGCACCTCACTTGCCTCAGGCAACAGCAAGTAAGAAATAGTGAGAAATAAACATCCCAGTCTGAAGCCTACCATGAGCTCAACCAAGAAGTTCTGGGTTCTTTACCATTTCTCACAGGCCCTGTTGCACCACAGATAACTTAGGGTGAACTATGCCACAGGCTGTGTAGTTGAGAAAACAGGAATGAGAAATGAAGAAAACATAACTCAGTAGAGGCAATTTAACTCGAAAGCTATCCTGGATTAAGCAATTTACTGAGTTATATTACATATGCTACACTGCTATATGCAAATAACATGCAAATATAACTACCACCCTCCATAGGGATAGTTTTTTCTTTGCTTTCTCTGGCTTCTAAATCCAATTTGGAGAATAAAAATAGAAAATTACTCTGTGGTGGGATAAAATTTGTTTATGCATCATGGCATTTCTCCCAATACCCCTCCCCCAAGGGCACCCTTAAGATTAAACTTTTTTTGCTCATGCAGAATTGTGTGACCTTGAAGTCAACTAAATAGCATAGGTGAAATACAAAGACATGTGTCTTTAGGTACCTGGGAAGGTGATGAGCCCTCCTCCAGGAAGCCATCCTAGATAACCAATCCTCCTACCTCTTCACCTAAGGCCCACAGAGTTCAAGTTCAGTTCCCTCTCCTCTACATCCGCACGGCACAGTACATGCTCAATTAAAGGATATTGAGCGCATGAAGGAGTTCACAGACCGGGTAGCCCCACAAGACTAACACAGACCCAAATTCATACAAGCTTAGACACATATTGCCTGTCAACTTCGGGAGTCTCCTCACTCCTTGTCCTCCTCCAGCTCTCCATCACCCATCTCTGCCCCAAGTGCTTTTAGAAAAAAAGAACAACAAAAATATTGGAAGGGGCAGTGCCTGTGGCTGAAGGAGTAGGGCACTGGCCCCATATACTGGAGGTGGCGGGTTCAAACCCAGCCCCGGCCTAAAACTGCAAAAAAAAAATAAAGATAGGAAGAAGACTGTGCCAGGAAGAAGGTGGTAGTATTAATACTGCAAATACGCCTGCAAGGAATTTAAAAATGACCCCCGGCCCCTTTAAACTTTTGTTTCCTTCCCATAAACAGGAACAATACACAGAGTCACTAGCACTTACTTTTAGAAAAAAATATATCCTTTAGATTTTCCCCCCTCAAAATCCTGGAGGCTAACGCTTCCACCCTGGTCGGCACAGCCGGCTCTGGAGCAGGTGTGCCTGCTGTGGGCACTGTGGCAGGCCTACCTCGGCGGGGAAGAACCAGAAGAAGAGGTTGCTGTTGTAGGTCTCATTCACCGTGATGTAGCCGGCGTAACTGTTCACATTCTCTTCTATGGAAAGGGTGACCAAACTTGCTTCTTTCCCTGGGGAGTGGGGAGGAATTTACCCAAGGGTTAGAGAAAAAGACCATGTGAGCCTTCTCAGTCTTGGTAGGGCTCCCCCAGGGGCCATCTGGGACCAGTGATGGGGAAGGCTACAGAGGAAATGGCAGGACAGGTAGTGACGCAGCCAACTCCAGCCTGCCCACCGCCAGGCCCACATGCTCCACAGGCACCAGCGAAAACGTTATGCCTTTGCTGGGGAGACCCCAAATATGTTTTATAAGCTGTAATAAGGCTTCTTAGAAAAGAAAAGGAAGTCATTTACCACATTTTATGTAAACTGAGGTATTCACATTGGGCCGCGTGGAAAGGGATAGGATAAAGTCACCTGACCCTACAGAAGTGGAGTGCAAGAGAGAAAATGCAGCTAAACAGGAGGCCTGTGTCATCCATTCTCGTTTTCATAAAGGCCAAAGTCCTGCCATGTCCTTGAAAGGAAGTGGACTGAGTCATGTGTGGCTGGGGATGGTGGGGACAGCAAGGCAGTTCAACAGAGCATGACTTCGTGGTTGCTGGGTCGGGGGGGAACAGAGCAGTTGTAGAGGGCAGAGCCCTGGCTTTTTATGCAACAGAGGCACAGGCACAGGGTAGAGAGACTGTTCAAACAGCTAAGGACAGACACCCAGTCTTCACCCAGTGAAGAATACTAAAAGGAGCTGAGATGAGGCCACTGTGCCAAGAACTTTCATTATACAGGAGGTGCCATTATTATCCCCACTTTACAGATGAGAAAACTGAGGCTCAGAGTGGTTAAGTAATTAGCCTGAGGCCACACAGCCAGTGAAGGAGAGCTGGAATTTAAACCTAGTACTCAGACTGCAGAGTTTGTTCCTTCCCTCACCCTGCTACGAATGTCAATTAGACAGTTAGAAGGTGTAGGTGGCAGGGAGTGGGAAAGGAAGTAGTGATTAGGAACAGACTGGAGAAGGAACAGAAAATAGGTAGCAGGGTGTGGTGGGGAGGTAGAAAGGGAAGTTTGGGTTAAGGAGAATCCTTTACGGGTGGCAGTAAATGAAAAACGGTTTAAATCTGAAACGTATTAAGCTGGAGCTATATTAAATCTGAGACCGATTAAGTCAGTAGGTAAGGAAGCTCAGTCCTTCCCCTGAAACAACAGAACATACCTTCATTCACTCTCTGGAGGGGGGCTGCCCGCATCTCTCCCCAGCTCAGCACAGACATTCAAGGACCCCATCATTAGGGTAAAGTAGGCCCTGGCGAGAATATTTACACCAGAGTAAACAGTGCTGCAAATCAGGACTCTGGCTCCAGGGCTGCTGGTTAAACTTTGACCAGCACAGCACTGCCTTAGGGATACGAGTTCTTCTTTTTTAAGTAGGCCTGTCTGCCAAGAGGTAAACCCGTGTCTAGACCACACAATTCCTTTCTCCTAGTACTCTGCTGAGTAGTACCCAGTGCTACTACTGGCCAGCCAGTGACGCTGAGAGGGCATTTAACCTGCCTGGGCTTCAGTTTCTCATCTGTGAAAGTCAGACTGCATTATAGGAAAGTCCACCCACAGTGACAGTCACTTTGCACAGTGAAAAACCCATGCAAAGAAGTGCTGGCAGGTAGGGCACAGATGCTACTGTTGCCTGTGAAATGCATCCACCGATTAGGACAGGCAGCCTCTGGGAGCAGAGGCGGTGGTGGGACAAAGGCAAGGTGGTTTCCTGAGGGTTGTCCCAGGCCACCACAATAGGTAAGAGCATGGGGCTTCCTAGTAGGACAGACCTGGGTCGGTAATCCTAACTAGCTCTCCAGCAAGGCACTCATCACTCTGAGCCGCTTTCCTTCTGTGCAAAACATGGATACAGATTCCCCTACACTAGGCTTTCTGTGAAGATCAAACAGACAAAAAATGCACATGAATCCTTAGCCTGGTGCACTAAGTATAAAATGAGGGTCCGGTCACTAGGATCATTATCATTAGCCTGTGGGCCACCCCCTGCGAAGTCTAGAAGATTTGCCTTCTTCTGGCTCAGCCCAGTTCTCCCAGGAAAAGTTACTTCATCCAACCTCTGTCGCTCTCCTTCTCTGCCCCATGAGACCTATCCTTCCCCACTAGGAAAAGGTAAAGACAAATGAGAGGGAGGATCTTAAGAGAAATTAAAAGGTGATTGGAGAAGGTGGTGTTGGCCTTGGCCTCCCCTCTTCTCTCCAGCTGCCATTCCCCTCCCCTTCACTTCCACTCCTGATTAGCCCCTCCAGGGCCAGGCTGCCTTTAAAACATTTGTGAAATATTTTTTTAGCAAAACCATTGTTCTCAAAATCAAACAGAGATGCCTTTACCACCACGACCACCACTAGGAAAAGGAGGGTAGAGAAATGAGTGAGAGGTAAATGGGAGGGAGAGAATTCCAGAAAGAAGACAGAGAAAAATGAGAAAGGTCAGAGTATAATAAGAAAAGAGAAAATATATAATAGAAGGGAGCTGGAGGGAATGGAAACAGAGGAGAGGATGATTGAATCAATCTATCTCTCTGAGACCAACACAAGGTCCTTGGCTGCTCTCACAAAGACTCAGATGTTCACTCACCCCACCCCCCACCCTGGGCATGCCCACGTGCTTCTCTGCTACCTTGAACTTGGTACCTGTCAGGCCTTCCCTCCTATGTTAGGAGCTGTTGGAAAGCAGGGAATCGGTCTTATTCATCTACCCCTTGGGACTTAGCATGCTGATTTACACCTTGCAACATTCAATAAATACTTTTTTTGATGCATGACTGTTAAGGAGTGTGTAGACTCGAGCAAATGAATGAATGAACTTGAGCCCCATGGACAAGGCACTAGGATTAGCTTATTCATACAAGAGCCTCCTGAAGGGAGGCAGACCTTACGGAGATCTTGAGAAATTTAGAACTTCTCTCTGGCCCACAGAAAAGTATTCTGCCCCATGCACATTTTAAACTTCCACTAGCTAAATCACAGTACAATAAAGTTTTTTCAACTGAAATGATTTTTTGTGTTTTTGAACATCCTGTTCCTCCTGTCAGAGTCTACTAACAGAGTGTGGAAAACAAACTCCCAAGATGTAGAAATGACGATCTTTCTGGCACCATGACTCACAACTCAAATGTTTAAAATAGTTTAAAAAAAAGAAAAGGAAAAGGTTATCTTTGAAGTGATTTTACTTCCTCCTTATGATTTACTGCTGTTACCAGTGTTGGTGACATTAACACTCTCAAAAAGATTGGAGTGTAACCAATCTTGGACCAGCTAATCAGTGTCAGACTTACCAACGCTCGAGTTACTCCCTGTATGAACAAGACAGCAACAGACCATAATAATAAATTAGGACCTAATAGCAAAATATTATTTAACGTTGGTGAAAATGCAGTGTTTGTAAACATGATAAAATTTGCCTGTACGTTCATTTTGTCTCAGAGAGTCATGTTTTATTCTAGCTGCAGAGAAAATAAACATGCAATTACAATTACATAAAACTAAGCTAGCTAATTGGGGATTAAAAAAAAAATAAAAATGCCCTTGTCTTTGTGCAAACTACTGTTTTTCTCAAAAATGTTCCATTGCGATATTAAGACTCATGTTCCTACGGTTTTGACAGACTCAATAAACAAAAGGGATTTAGGAGAGTGAGCTGACCATCTGTCCAGAGCTTCCTGAACTTTCAGCAAAGCGGATGAATAAAATTATCCTTAATTATGTTGTCAGGGCTGCATTTGAATACCCAGATGTACCAGATTGTAGATCAGCCACTTAAAATTCCATTCGAAAATTTTGACTGTGTAACACAACTTTCGAAAGTGACATTACATGCAGATTTAATGTTTTAAAAGTTGTCATTCATCAGATGAAAATCTATCAGTCTGGGCACAGAAGGACAGAAGATAAAACTCCCCTCCCCCCTTGGAATCTTTCTCTGCTCCTGCGAATACCCATAACTGAAGGATACCCATAAGCAAAAAAACAGGAACAGGAGGGCTTTGGACAATCTCGCAGATGGAGTTCTGTGTATTCTTTGCACTTGGTTCTGCCAGCTGCATGACACAGACACAGCCAGGGTCATTTCACTTAATGCCTTTGTTTAAGCTGTGTGCCTCATTCAGTATGTACAGACCTGTCTCTTTTTACCTAAATCTTACTCAACATCCTCAAGTCTGGAGCTGGTCCTATAGCACAGTGGTTCATACATGGGGTCATAGATAGGTTGACAGGTACAGGTTTTCATTCCATCTCTCCCTAGTTTTATGGCCCTGGGGCAAGATACTTAATTTCTCCAGGCCTCTGTTTTCTAATCTGTAAAATGGAAACAATAGCTATGCATTCTTCCTTAGGGTTAGTCTAAGAATGACACAAACTAATGGATATAAAACACAGTGCCTGGCACACAGTTAAGACTCAAATTTATATTCCACTAGTATTTATAGAATGCTTAGTGTGTACAGGCACTGTGCTAGGTCCTGAAGATATAATGATTAAATATTAGCTATCTATTATTTTTACTAGTACTATTACAGTACTATTATCTTCTCTTTGGATTATGCCAACCTGGTGGGATAGTTTCCTTCTCAAAATTTCCAGTACACTCACCTCAGATGTAATACTCTGGCACCTGTGTATGCACTGCCTTATTCCTTAATTGTTTCATGTGTGTGCATCTGGCCATTTCAGAAGCTCACAAGTTTTTTAAACAAAGAGAAATAAATCATAGGAGGCAAACTATAGAGCCGAAGTGAGAAGATTTGGGTCCATCTCTGTGACCCCGTCTCTATTATGTGCATCCCGTTGGGAGAGTCACTTAAGGTATTTGAGTTTCTATTTCCTCCTACGTGAACTGGTAAGATTTGGTTATAATGATTTTTTGAAACTCCTTTTCATCTCTAAATTAAATGGTGTGCCTTGGTTTATTCCTAATAAACATAAATCTATGTCCTCAATATTCACTTATTAAGGGAGCTGAAATGGGTGTACATGATCCAATTTGGTGGGTGTGGGGTCAATGGTATTTCACTTCTTCGTATGCATCTTAGCAACATCAGCACGGCTTTCCGGGACTTTTCTACACGAAGTAAAAAGGAGTCCTTTTTACAATACACTGAATACCTTGTCAAAGGGTTTCATCGTTCCTCAGAAAAGAGATGAAACTTGCAGCCAATGGGTATTGCAGAAAAAGACATATGAACAGGAGTACACATACCCTTCAAATACAAGAATGTCTTGGTTTAAAAGAAAAACTGAACCACAGTGACATCCTATTGGCTGTGAGTATTTGTCAAATGAAGAAAATTTGCTCTAACTTAAACTTCCTTATGGAGTATTTAAATTTATTTTTGATCTTTAAAATGATCATTTCCAGTAAACTTACACATTCCCATCAGAGCTACCAACGTACCAGCTTCCCAAGTACCAACTCTGCCTTCCCGCCTTTGTCTAGAGAGAAACTTACTTAATGATCTCCAGCAATGGCCCCCTCACCCCAACCAGCTCCCACACTCACCCTAATCATTTCCAGCAGCAAAAAAACAAAACAAAAAAACCCCATTGTCTCTTATCCTCTTCGAGATCCTTCCCCAGCTCCATCACTCCCCCGCCATCACTCTACTTCTCTGCTTCTCTTTACACACTGCTCCTCAGAACTGCAGTCTGTGCATTTTCATCATATTTTCATCACATCTCTACACCTTGGGCAAGTTGTTAAATCTCCATCTTATTAAAGGGATAACTGAGGCCTAGAAGGTACAGGTCACCTGCTAGATGAGGAGGCACCGGGGTGCCCAGAGTGAGGCTATCTAGGGGTGAATCTTTACCTATTGGTGAAGGTTGGTCTGTGTGAACTCTGGCATTAACTCAATCTCTTTCTGCTTTAGTTTCCCATCTGTAAAGTGGGTCCACCTCCCGGGGTTGTTGAGATGTTTAAATGAGTTCTTGTAGAATGCTTGGAAGCAGTGACTGCCTTGAAGTAAGTTTTAATATTAGTATTGGCGTTCGTAACTGCCCCCTGGGGGACAAGCACTCTACTAGTTTTATAAACTGAAATGCTGCCATTCAGCCCCGTAGATAATTCACCCCTAACTCTCATGTTAGTTCAAAACTCTGATAATATATGACATCATTATTAATATTTGAAAGCAACTGAGTAAAAATACCAGAATGTATTTTTCACCTTGTGGAATAATTGCTTTAAAAAAATTACTGAAAGTATAACCAGTGGTTTTCTGACTTAAATTAAACTTACCTTCCTTGATCTTCCCTTCTTGAATATAAGGGGTAAGAAATACTGCCTTTCCAAAATCTCCCAGAGGTGGCATGGAGACCTGGGTACTTCTGTATATGGAGCGAAATAGCCCGTCACAGGGGCTGGGTCTGGACAGGACCAGCAAAATGATCGCTTTCCACATAGTACCAGCCATTCCCTCCGGGTCTGGGAAGAAAACAACACCCGAGAAACAAGTCAAAAGAGTAAATATTTACCTACCCCTCTTACAAGCAAGAAATTCATTTCCTCACTCAAAAAAAGAACAAAAGTATGTAAAAGCCCTTTACCAAGCACCTGGGATACCGATGTGAAGAAGACTCAATTCCTGCTCACCTGTCAATTCAGGCTAATGAGGGATTGATTCTTTAAGGGATTCACAATATAAATATAATTGGCATTTTTAAAAGCATGTTCTGGAAAATGAATTCATTAGAGGATTAGAAAAAGCCTCAGGACAGCAAGGACTCTGTAACTGCCCACCAAATGAGTGGTGAGACCCTTATACCACCACAGGAGGGCACAGAATTGAGTACACATTTCAGGCTGAGAGATTCCAAAAGGCCTCCCCAAGGTCAGATGTGAATTAAACGGGGGGTGGAGCACAGATCAAGCAGAGAAATCAGGAAGGCATCACTGGTGGGTGAACACTGTGGAGGACGCCGAGACCTCAGGCATCCAGACACACTTTGTAGGAAAATTTAAAAGATCCGATGAATGGTTTTCTTCTCTCTCTCTTAAAAATCACTGAAGTTTGTATCCAACAACAAAAAAGAAAGAAGGAAGGTTCTTAAAACTGTTGCTAGGCCCCTCCTGAAGTTGTGAAATCTCCACCTTATTACTGGGATAACTGAGGCCTAGGAGGTCTGGGTCACCTGCTGGATAAGGGGGCACAGCAGAGTGATCTGGGTGAGGCTGGTTACCTAATTTATGATTAGGTAAATTCAAGATATCAGGCCCCTAACTGTTAGCACAAAGCTTTCCAAGGATCTTCAAACTTGATGTTTGCTTAGAATACTCATCTGGGGTGATAGTAATAATGGCATAGTAAATAACACGATGATTTACCCAATCTTGTACCTAAATATGTAAATTGGTTTACAGCGAGATTTCCTATGTATTTTTAGTTGAATTGAATGTCCTAATAATTCCACCAGTGTTAAAGAAAAATTATTTGGTGACATTTGTTAAGGAAAATAAGGAAGACTTTATTCAGGATAATGATAGGTATAGGGAACCCTGCAATGGGATCTCGCAGTGGGGGAGAGAGATTGGGATCAACTCCTAATACAGCATGGGCAAGTAGGAATTTATAGCCAAAGTATAGTGTGAAGGTCACTGCATAGAATATTGCCTAGAAGAAACATCAGGGTTAAGGTGACCTGGCCAAACCAACCTACCAGAATTTCCATTGACGACAGGTCAGAGTTATCAGTCATCACCAGGGGGATGGTGGAGTTCGAGGTACCTGATCAACTATAGAGGATCAAATGTCCAGGATGGGAGGGGGGCTGTTGCTGGTAAACTAGCTGTGCAGAGTTCTTTGCTAAAACTGGATTTCATAAGGAAGTGCACAGACGGACCTAGCAGAAGACTCTGAAGCCTGATTAAAATTTGGCCAAGCAAAGAATCTTTGTCACTGGGAAAACGACGACTACTTTCACCTCTTTTTTCTTTTTTGAGACAGAGTCTCACTTTGTTGCCCTCGGTAGAGTGTTGTGGTATCACAGCTCACAACAACCTCTAACTCTTGGGCTTAAGCGATTCTCCTGCCTCGGCTTCCTGAGTAGCTGGGAGGACAGGCACCTGCCACAATGCTGGGCTATTTTTTGTTGCAGTTGCCACTGCTGTTTTAGCTGGCCGGGGCTGACGCCCTACCACAGGAGCTGCCCACTTTCACCACTTTTTGATAAGACGCATTTGACTCAAAGGAATTTATCATGCAAAGACATGAAAGTACAGAAACTAGAACCTGATTCCAATTGCGGCTGGAACCAGACGAAGGGGAGTGATGTGCCGGGGCGCAAAGTCAGATCTCATCTCCATGTAAAATCTTGAATTTTTTTAATCATGGATTTTTCTCTGCACTATACAGATTTTCTCCCAAAATATGGCAATAGAATACTATTTATCTCAATTACTGAGTTTGGGGACACTTTCTTAGGTTTTATACCTGAGACATGTGCCTCCCTTGCCTCACCCGTCCTGACCCTGGGATTATGGTAACTATGACAGCACTGTTAATTACTCCTCACTCCTGCTATTTAAGCAGGACTTAAGTTCTTAGTTGTAAATTCTAAATAAAATACATGAAATGTATAACTATTCCACTCACTCAGCTTTCTGGATGCAAAAAGAAATCTACAGTTAGGGAAATATAGTGCCTGCTTTTGATGTTCAGTGCTTTAAAATGCTAAGCCATTAGAACATCTTAGAAATATTAAATGTGCAAAGATCTTTTAACCATATACTTATTACAACCCAATTTGACATAATATGAAAATATTGGTTGCAGCAAATTTTAAGAGCTTTTCAGCTACATTTCCCCGATAAGATAGATGTTTATAATTATAATTTGGTTGAGTATATAACCCTTGTCATGTCTCTCAGGGTTAAGGTAATAGAATTTCTCACACTTTAATGTAAATAGGCCCAACCAAATACTGTATGGAGATAAAAAATTATTCTTGTCTATTATTGGCTATAATAAAGAACAAAGCAAATTCAAAAACTGAAGATGCCCAAGGGTAAATATTCGCTTATGGCACTGTTAAAACATTTTTGTTTAATTATGTGAACTTGTTACACTGGGTGTTTTAATAGCAGAGCTACTTTCAAGGAATGCCTAAAATGGACAATTTTATTTCCTATCTGGTTGGGGGTGGGGTGGGGGAGAGGAAGCAGCACTAAAAAAATAGAAGGAGCTCTTCCAGGAAGAGGTTTTTTCCTGGGGACAGAAACAAGAAACCAATCGTGCCATCTAATTTCTCAATCTTCCTGCTGCCAGTCTCTGACCCCCTTTAATGGAAACCATTAATATTTAAACAATATTACAGCATTTCCCTTGGAAGCAGATGTTGACTCAAAGATGTTAAAGAAAGAGGTAAAACTGGTCTTGCTTTGTTTTTTTTTACTTATTATGGGTACTTGTTTTAATTGACATGAATCTAATACATAAGGGCTGATTCAATTAAGTAGGTCTCATTAACATTTCATCTAATAACTATCCCAGTCCTGGTGTCCCGAGTAGGTGAATTAAAGTGACAACGTATTTCATTTCACAGCTCTCATTGAATGGAGCTCCTGAACTGCACTTAGCTGTCATCCTCATAAAAATGAAAGCTTTCATTGTGAATGGAAAAGTGTTTATTTTTTTTTTTAACATTCTTCTCAAATGTTTTTGTTTAACCTAACTTGGCCTGAATCTTTTTATTTATTGAGAATGTATTAAGCACTTTCTAAGCCAATAATCCCTGCACTAGATAGAGGCTAGAAAGAGAAAAAGAAAATCTATTAACCTTACACTTTATCATATGTACTCGAATTAATGTGAAAACACTGGTGCTATTTCCAGTTCAAATATATCGTATTGAAGGATTCAAGCAAAAATACTCCTCTTAGTAAGTGCTTAAAAACAGAATAAAATGTAGGTTGATACAAACATTGGCAGAATTAAATAACCTAGAGGTCAAAAGTATATGATTTGCTGAAACTGTCTTACTAAACCTTAATCATGGGTTCAATGTGTAACTTTCTGATATTAAACTAAAGCTATTTATCACAGTATTCTTTAGAATAATAAAAACTGTTATTAATTTAAACTCCTAACACGAAGACATCAGATAAGTAAATTACTGTACACCAAAAAACGTGGAATTATATATAGCAATTAAAATCACTCTACTGAGAATGTTTTAGAAAATGATAAATATTAGGTAAGAAAAGAGGATACTAGATTGAGTAGTTTCTCCTTATTTAGTACTTCTGAATAATTTCTAAATTTTCTATAATAATCTCATAATTAGAAAAAAAAATAGTTTTGTTTTGCTTTCTTTAAAACAAAGTGAAGCAGCTGATACACATGTCCAAAACAAAAAAAACTGCTGGTTCCTTATTCCTTATTCCTACCTGGTTGTGACCTCTTGCGTTTCCTAGGAATAAGGTTCTGTTTAGCTTCTAGAATAGCTTCCTCTTTCTCTAACATTCTCTAAAGGTGTGTCCTGATTTCTCAAAGCCACAGAACCTCAGAGACTCAAAGTAAATTTTCTCTTTGGTAAATTAGAAGACTCTGGATAAATGTGAGATGCCGTTATAACAATTCTTTTTATATTTGTATTTAATTCTGCCTGGAGTAATAGAGTCCGTAATTGGTATTAAGCCAGTATTAGTTGACTTGATGCATTTAAATAATGAACCATATTTTAGACCGACATGAGATATTCAATTTTCCTGTGGTCCAATTCCTGCATCTTTGGAAGGAGTAATTAACTTTATCAAGATTACACCGCTGGTGAGCTGTAGGGCCAAGACCCAAACCAGAATTTATCTATGGTTTGAAATCTAATCTGCTGTCCATTCTCCCATATTTGGTTACAATTATAGTCAAATATTTTGACTGTTATTGTCTCAATAAATAATAGCCTATAATACTCCTAAGCCCCTTTCATAGACTGTTAGAGGCTGCAGTAAAGAAATGAAAAAATGAATAAGCAGAAATTTTATTATGATAATTAAGTTTTCTAGAAGAGTTTGGTTTTTAAAAATAGCCCCCCAAAAATCCAGGTTCTGCCATGACCTTGGACAACGCAACAACTTCTCTGGGTCCCACCTGGTAGGCCACAGCCTAAGAGGGCTGATGGTTAAATTTTCAGGAACTTTAAAAGCCAGCCATTTAACAAAGCCACAGTTAAAAATTAAAGTTTAGAAACTTACTGAATAAGTTATATTTTAAAACACAGGTTAAAAATACTCAAAACTTACTTCCTCATTCTTCTCCTACATTTTAATATTACCTATTATCTGGAGCTATGTATTTTGTATCTGTCTGGTGGACAGATGACATAATGGCTTCCTTTCTCTGCATCTGCTTCCAACTGCGTTCAGTAATCTCATCAGTAGCTTGAAATCAGCTCTGGTAGGAGTGTTTCCACCATGGAA